CGAAGCAGACTCAGTTATACCTAATATATTCCAAACCGTGAGGCTGAATGTCGTAATGAAAACAAATGCAACCTCCTGACCTCTCAATTTCTGCCTTGCTCAAACAGGAACTGGCCAAGTCTGTTAATAACCATTAATAAAAACAATCACTGCAAATTTGAAATTTCCTGTCAGCCTAGCAATATCCCCAAAGAGGAAATGTGCCTCTAAATATGTCTTTTTTTTAAGGGGGTGGGGTGGGGGATATTGAATGCAGTGCTTCATGCTAATTTCATACAAAATCTCTAACTATACTAAACCAAATGTGTACAATGTGTTTTAGACCTAATGAAGAATATGTTAAAACAATTGAAAATACCAACCAAACACTTTATATTTAACCTCCATTTTACAATCAAGCTATGAACTTTTATAAACTAAGCAATTTAATGTTTTTGGAACTATTTTTGCAAATGCCTTTCTTAGGTATAAGATCTCAGAACATCATAAGCTTTATTATTTAATGCTTTTATTTTTCTGTGTTTGTGTGAAACACTTTGAACTGCTGCTGTATGAAAGGCGCTATTTGAATAAACCTGCCTTGCCTGTGAGTGGAACAAATCTTTTAATGCATCTTTAAAGCAGACCTAACTGTAAGCTTGGGCTAGATTTATAAAATTCAGGAAATGTACAAAACTACAATAGATTTCTGAGGTTCTAAGTCCCATACCAGCAGAGAGGTCTGAACTGATCTGGTGTGAGTGTGCATTATGACACCTGGTGCAGGAATACGAGGTGTTCTCATAAGGGAGAGTGGATAAAGAGGAGAATGCTTTGAATTTAAAGAGCTGCTAAATTAGCAGAGAGGCATTGTTAGCGGGGCAGCAGGCCGGTCCCAGGGCCCCAGTTAAGAAAGACTGAGGTGGACTTTACAAGGCCAAACTGAAAGGCCCCACAGGGACTGCCCTCACCAGCTGCCTCCTTTAAAAAGGTAGACTTCAAACATAAGGTCCTGACTCAGACCCCCTCCCTACACAAAACACACCTAGCATGGGTTATGGAGCCTGAGCAAAGCAACATGGCTCATGGATCAGTTGTGATGACTGTTTCGAATGGCAAAGGAAATCTTAAAGTTCATGTGAGAAAACGTTTGTATGTTTGACCGCTAATGGTGTTCAGATTCTGCCTCACATTAAATAGTACTGTGCTTCTAAAGCCTGTACATCACGGTCAGCTGCTAACACTTCTCAGTCCAATTTAAGTTTTAGTTCCACAGTGACTGAATCAGCTTCATAGTATATTTAAGTAAAGTTAGCTCTTTGAACCCTTAAAGGGGCTGTCAACAATCTGTTAATGCATTTAGCTATTGATTTCTGCATGAATGTGCTACTGGCTGTCAAATAAAGAACAATATTGATTTTTGATCCAGAGATCTTTGCAATTTTGCCTTTCCTCTGTTGGATTTGAGTTAGGCAGGACTATAATGGAAGATGCTGATGTTGAATGTTCCCTTGTATCCATCAGAAGTAGGGCTGATTTTTATGTTTTGTATTCCCTTCCACAGCCCTGCTTCACTCAACCCAAAGTCTCTTAACTTATGCCGGCCTGGCTATCTGTCACTCCTTAAGCATCGTAAAATCACAACTTTAACAACAAAAAATGTACGAAAAATTTTACAAAAGATCAGTTCCACGGTTTTATCCAAGTAAAAATTTTGAGGGCTTTAGAGAGCTCGTTGAAAGCGCTCTTTGGTGTGCAAATAAATTAGCCAAGGTAAATTATCTAAAGTAATTTCTGCATTGGCTAGTCTAAATTACTCAGCAAATGCTAATGCTGTTTGAGTGATGTGATAATCATAGCCACAGTACAACACAAATGCAAATGCTAGTGGTGGTCCTACTTGTATTAATCACAAACACTTACCACCACATTTACAGTAGTCGTTGAGCATAACTTTACCTCTGTAATCCGCTGTCTCACATGGAGTCATAGTCTACCTACTGTCAGAAAATAAAAGCTCAAAAAAGTGAATAAAGTCTGCTGCCATGGGGTTGTTTACACTGGCTATGTCACTGTCAATCACTGTGTGATCTGAAACACCCACACAGTCCAGAGTTTTTTTTAGCTTTTCACTACATTTTTTTTTTTTTAACATCTTGCACTGTTGTGATTTTTACTTTCATTGAAATATTTGTAATATACATATAAGTCATAAGTCTGTTTTAAAATTTTAAAAGTCCATTATTAACTCAAATTTCATTCCTCCTTCATGTAGTCAATTTGCTGTTCACAGAGAGAAAATGCTATTTCTACGCTGGAGTTATGAGTTCATAAACTTACCTCACCCATAAATCCTAACTGAGAAGCTGACTGTATTTAAAAATACAATGCAGTATTTTTTAGCTTAACCTTTTTACAATGCAATCAATATTAAAACCATGATATCTGTCAGAGCTAAACAGTAATGTGAAGCTGAGAGAACTGTCAGAGAGGCCCTGATGGGCACTGGATTCCATAAGGTTCTAAACAGTTCACTTTTTCCATCTCTCAGGCCCACTGACCTGCTTAGTGTCTGAATTCTTTGGCTTCTGAGTAACGGGACGATTACAGCATGGAATTTCAGGGAGGACTGACTTCATTTGTGCTCCTGAAATAGCAGGACTGGAAGTCAAAAGCAAGGCCACAGATAGGCAATTACCAGTAGGCACTGGTGCGGTGAGGCTTGGGCTGCCAATATATCCCTACCATTTCCACTAAAAAAGCTGACCTTACATGAGCTCTTTTCCTCTGCATTGCTCCATCCACACTGCTTGTTCATCTATCCAATGAGGTATAATGTTTCATAACTAATTAGACCGCCTTTTGTGACATGTAAAGTCATACTCTCTCTCTCTCCATCTCTTTCCGCTGGTTTTAAATGGGCCAGCTGCAGAAGCTGGGTCCCATCAGGAGTGGGTGCTTGTGGGCTTGGCATGTCCCCAGCCCAGGCTAGACAGTCATGTCCCTCAGCGCTCCGGCCGTCCACCCGTCCGGCAGACTGCGTAACGAGCCAGTCGGGCTGTCTGCGGTGCTGCGCAAAGGATGAGTTCCGAATTTTGACAGCACCCTGACCCATGCCAAAAGAGTTCAACTGCTCTGGGCGGAGAGCGGGAGGGGGACTGTTGGCGAATGGATGGGATTTTAACACTGGAAGGAAGGGAGGAAGTCAGAGAGGCAGAGGGAGTAATAGCAATCAGATGTTGACAGTACCGCTCTGCTACTAACGGCGTCATTCAGAGATATTAAACATCATTTGCAACTCTGAGGGCTGCTTTTCTACTGGATAATGATGAAGCAAAGGGGTTCAGAATTAAGGACTGCTGATGGCAGGTGACATCAATTAAAGAGTAATTCCTACCTGATTTCCTGATTAATTTGAAGATTAGATTAATAAGAATAGTAGTAAGTCGTTTTAGTGGTCTCTTGGAGTGATGTAAGGATAAAGAGGAGTATAAACATTATTAAATGCCCCAGTTGATATCTGAACTGTTGTCACGACATTCTAAGAAATGGCTTTCACCGTCTTTAAACATTTTTCTCCATTCCTGAGTCATCACTGCCTCTGATGATCATCTCATCACTACGTCAGGCAGAGAAACTGGAGCCACTGCAGACAGCACACGCTGGCTCGAGGTCTCTCTCCACCTCCTCTCAAAACCTTCCAGTGCCCTGGAGCACTTCCTTTTTAATCAGTGTTAGCGCCGCAGTCTCTGCTTCCAAGACTCAATATTAGGAATAAAGGAAAGGAACAGAATGGAATTAGGAATAAAAATATAGAATTTATAATCGTAATATGATTACTTCTGACATTCACACTCAGCAACTGTCTGGTTGGTTTAACAGTTTACATTTGCTACAGGTACTATTCTGATTTCTGTTGACTGAAATCGCTGTTGGAACAAAACCTTGTGTCTCCATATTTTACTTACAAAATTTGAAAATGCCAGCTCCCCTTTACACAGTGTCAAAATGTCCTAAGGAATGAACAGAAAATAGAAATGGTCCAAAATTGCTTAGAATATAACCTGGACATTCTATATTCACTTACATCAGATATGTAGGTTTGGGTTTGAGACGGGAAAGCATAAGAGTGGTAGGCAATGTAAAGATCTGGCATATTTCCAAAAGGAACTACTCTGATTTCTGTTGAGTAGAAGTGGTTGAGTTCAGAATTGGAAGGAATGAGAGTGATAGGCTAAAGTGATAGATAAAGATTTGGTTATTTGAGGAACACCTAGTAGTTTCAGATCAGTATCAAAACAATGAAGCAGAAGAATGAAGAACGACAGCTTTGCTCACTCGTGTCCCAAGCTTCAGTTTCTCATTATGTTAATGAAAGAAACTCTTTTTGTGAATCAAATTTGAAACCAAAAGTGTGAGGGTGAGCTCCATTGCTTTCTCTCTCTCCCATCACCTCCCATCCCCTCTTTCAGCAGCTCCCTGGATTTTGCATTTACAGTGGGAGAGGGGGAGCAGTCCCCAGCCACTCCCCCCACCACCAGCAGCACCACACTCACGCACTATAAAGCCAAGGCATAAGGAAACACTCAGTCGTAATAACACGTGGAACTGTTGAGGGGATGAGAGCTAGTAGGACGCTCTCATTCACATGCTCACTCACTCCGGCTGCTGCTTTGCTGCTTGGTGCGCTGGTACCTTGAAGAGCCTTCAGAAGAGAAAGGACTATAAGAGTCTACCATCACAGGACTGGTTTAAGGCACCACTGGATTTCCACAAAACGGACTTTGTGGGTTGTTTTATAGTGGGGGACCTTTTGAGGGTTTGTTCCTGTGCTTGTGTGCTGGTTACAGAAGGACAAAGTTGGTTCATGCTGAACAGAACTGAGGCATAAGAGTTTGTGAGAGATAGAAGAGGCACCCAGGGTTTGTCCCTGTGGCACTTTGAAGACTGGAGAAACATAAGAGGACCAGCGTTGGTTGGTGGAGACCAGGGGCATACATTAGGGTGAAACCGATCAGGTGATGATGTCCTTCGCCATGGTTCGCCCATCTCCTGCCCGTTTTCTCTACTCTGAGATCAGCATGCTCTCCGAAGATGATGAGAACGGCAGCGAAAGTTCAGGATCTGATGACAAATCCTCCTGCCTATCCTCTCCTGGCTACGGCCCCATCAAAGCTGCCTCTCGCAAACGAAAGTACGGCTGCCGGCCAGCGGCCGTGTCCACGGACCTCTGCGCGCCCATCTCAGAAACCCGGCAGCGCAACGCAGCAAACGCCCGCGAGCGGGACCGTACCAACAGCGTCAACATGGCCTTCACAGCCCTGCGGACGCTCATACCCACTGAACCAGCCGACCGTAAGCTGTCCAAGATTGAGACGCTGCGGCTGGCTTCCAGCTACATTTCGCACCTGGAGAACGTGCTGTTGGTGGGCGAGGCATGTGGTGATGGGCAGCCATGCCACAGGAGCCCAGCAGCCCTGCACAACCACCTCCACAACTCTCACAAACCTACAGCCCCCAGCCCGGACTCTGAGAACTCCCAACCCAGACAGATCTGCACCTTCTGCCTCAGCAACCAGAGACGACTGGTGAGTAAACACTGCAGCTGTCTGCTTTGCGAGCAGCTCTGAGACCATCTCAAATGATGGAGCTAAAACAGATCTATGCGCTGTAATGCATCTATCTGAAGATTGTGGTTCAACTGCATTCATTTTGAAATATCAGAATAGATTATAATTTAGTATTCAATAAATTATGTGCTTATTTCACAGCCAAAATAAAATTCTCAAGATATTTTCAAGCATAAAATATCTAAGAAAAGATTGAGGAATTACATTTATTTTCCAATACTGTTTCTCCAGTCTCATTTGTGTACTCATAAAAATAATTCTCAGTCATACATACTGAGCAAAAGTCAGAGACCTTTCTTGATTCATTTAATTTCTAGTCAGGTTAGTACAAGTTATTCATTTTTCAATGTCAGGAAAAAGCAGAAAACATATATTAAACAGAACATTACACAGAAGCCACAACAACTAAATATGATAATTTTTTCAGTATGTACTGTGTCCAACCTGCCTTTATTACAGCTTCCATTCTTTTAGGGAGACTTGCTTTTGGCTTTTCAAAGAAATCTGCAGCGGCATTTTTTCACACCTCCAAAGTTTAGTCTTAAAACTTGGTTGCATTTTATGCTTCTCATGATCCAGTTAAACCCAAATTTAGACTCATCAGTCTGTAAAACCTTACTCCAGATTTCAGAGTTTCAGTTTTAGTGTTCTTCTCTTCGGTCTGTTTCCTTTTTTCAGTTTCTTTTCTCAACACCTGTAGAGTTTGCAGATCGGAAGCAAGAGTAAACTTGATTTTCTCCTCTCTCTCAAACATGAAAGCTTTAAGTACTGCTTATCTAAAAGTTCTGGTGGTCTACCAGGTCTTGTACAGGTGTTAAGAGTCCAATTTTCTCTGTATCTTTTAGTAATGTTTTAAACTCCATTTTATTTTAACCTTCCCCTTTCTCAAGCAAGTACATTAGCTTTTATCTAATCAACCTACAAAATAAAAAGAATAACCTATATACGATGGCTGTTTTGACTGGGAATTCATTTAATCAAGTGCGTTATCTGACTTTCGCAGAGTACCATACCAAAATAGTCAAACAGCGTCTTTAAATTCTGCAATTTATTGTTGAGATCTCATGATATACGCAACTGTTTCCAAGAGAAATCAAATAGAATCATTATGAAGTGAGTGATTTATACTGGTATATGGAACACATTCAGGTCAATGTCAGGAGCATTTCCGTGCTGGATTTTCATCAATGCAATGTCCATTTCTGAATGTTTTCCTCCTAGAATGGTTTTGAGAGAACACACAGTGCTGAATCTTTATGAAGCAGAAAAGGAGCAGCTTTGCTTCCTACTCAGCTTGAGTTTGTGATTTATTATTGGGACAGATGAAAATGAGTTCACACACTGTGTCTTCAAAAATCAAACTTCTCTATTACGTCCCTAAAAAACTTTTAGAGTCTATTTATATATCACAAGTCTAGTCTAGTGAACACACTGTGGATTCAAAACCACTGTTGAATTGTTGAATTCAAATTACTTCATTTCAAGCTATCGATTTCAAGGTAACAGGAGGATGGAGGAGAAATCTAGACTTCCAGCCACCCTCTTCCTTTCAAAGTAGACCCTCAAAATGTTAGGAATTCATAAGGAACGTTTGGTAGTGCGTACTTTTATCAATAGCTTTTTCCACTGAGATATACACCATTTTTTATGTCACCCCATAAACACGACTAATTCAGGCACTTGAAACTTGGCATGATTGAGGTTCTGCATAACATCAGTAATTTGTCTAGTCGTGTGGACCATACGAGACTGATTTGTCCTCAAAAACCTTTATAACAAAACTTTTCCTGTGTAACAGAACGAACCTGACAAACAGTCACTGGAATTCCTAAATGTGATAGAGGACGTGTGAAATGACATCAGCACGAGGCAAGCTGCAGACAAATTACTGTGCTCAATCGTGCTCTGGAAACATCTGGGCTCATGTGTATCTAACTTCCAGTGACAGAGCTGATCTTAGATCAGTGAATGCCATTCCTTTTTTTATTTAATAGCAGCATACCGGGAGTACCTACAGCATGTAAATCACATTATGACTCGAAATAAACTATTCCATGACCACCTGAGTAAAGCTCAGAGGCTGCATCACAAAAAAGTAGTAGATTTATTTTAAGGGGGGCTATAGTTAATACAGCTGGAGTTTCTACAGGACTGATAAGAATCTAATAGTAAATTTAGACATATAGGATATTACTCAAATATTATTGATTACGAAGACAGTACTACAGGAACATTATTGTATTATTAAGTCTAAAAATATTATAGATTATATAACTATTATACATCTTGTAGTTAGGCCTGTCATGAACTTGATTAACTGTCATACAAATCATTGTCACAATTCACAATTTCATTGTCTCTTTTTCATTCACTCATTCATTCATTTATTGTTTGCAGCTATTAAAGTATAAGCCTAAAGCATAAGATTAAAGCATAAGCCTGAACTATTGAGCCATCTTCCTACCTGGCTGTCGATTCTCAATAGCCCCCAGCCAACCAGACACAGTTCGAGCTCAAATAAGCAAACGTTACTTACAACTGCCCCCTACAGGTGTTACAGTCAGAAATTGGTGCCCCTGACGTCTGAATAAACGCCTTTTATTTATTTATTTATTTATTTTTGTACATTTTACCTCAACCCAATTCACACACAAAAATTCATGTTCTATTCATTGCAGCATAATCATATAATTGAGAAAGCTAAAAGCTCTGGAAAATAAATAAAACAATGCTCAACACCAAATATTAAAGCAAATGTTAAAATGTAATAATAATTCAGTTTAAGTAGTTTAATAAAAAGTGTGATGTGTTTCTTCTGCTAATGCTAGAACACTGAGCTTTGTTTTAATTTTGCAGCTCATTCTCACTTCTCTCTCACATGTACACCAAATAATAAATATTACAAGATCCATTCTAGTCCCTGCAGTGTATCTGGAAAGAAGGAAAAAACTGGACCTTTCTGTTCTTTACAGCTTTAAGATGTTTTGTGGTTCATGCACTTCACTATTTCCCTATTACACTCTTATACACTGCTGTTATCTCATTCAAATGTGAGAACAAAAGAAAATCAATATTACAGCCCTTCAGAAAACATTATTTATACATTTTTAACTTATAAGCATACATTTGATCTGTACATGAGCTATAAAATCATAACCATATGCAATACAAGACCAATAAACAGCAAGATCAGTTTATTTGACAGTAAAAATGCACTATTATATATCATTACATGCACTCAGGCATGCAGATAAACAAACATAAACACGCTGAGGCCTAAGTTCGCTGATGGCCCTACCCTTGAGTCACCCAGCAGCGTGAACAGGATTAATGCACGCCAGCTGGGTCTCACACCGCACGAGTGAGAGTGGAAAAAGTGAGGCATGCTGCCCCCTCAGCTGACGTTATGGCCAGACACCCTCCACCTCAAGTAGATCACGTTCCCTCAAAGCACTCGCTTTCAGATAAATCCCTAATTACTTCTCAAACACTGCATCTCACAAAGGAAAACATGTTAGTTATTCAGTTCTGGGTTCAAATGCTCATTAGCAGTGGAATCAAATCAGTGCTTCTATAAGAAATAATAGAAACATAAATAAATACAATACAATAAAAACAATACAATTACAATATATCTAGGTATGCTCACCAAAACGTCTTTAAAATTGCATTTTAAATAAAATCAGCCCAGAATTTTGCTGGTTTGCAGTTTTACTGATGCTAATGAGGATTTTTACACTTTTTTAAATTTTAATTTATTTCTTCTCATTAATATATTTAATGAAATTTGTGCTGTATAGTTACCTTTACTTCATTGGCACCAAATAGGATTTTTTTATGTTTTTTGAAACTGTGTTTTTTAATGACATGTGTACTGACAGTTGCCTTTTTGCTTGCTTTGCTTTGTCGTTTCAGAACAAAGACAGAGAAAGAAAAACAGCCATAAGAAGTTAATGCTGAAGAAGAACCCACGATGGGAACTCTTAACTGTACATTTTGTGTAATTTGTTGTACGTAAGCTATTTTACATAGCAATATTATACACAGACTCTTATTTATCCTGTAAATGTACTCTACTGGAGATATCGCTTTTGGCTTGGCTACATTTTCCCAAGAGGAAGAGCACTGAGGACTTTGCATTTGTCAACCAGCACACGCTGCTTGTGCTAAACACAGCACATTATGACTCTGTAAGAGTTCAACCAAAAAGGAGACAGTGGACTACAATAAGACTATCCATACTTCAGAGGACAATGCCTGAGACTAAAACAGGGACAGGAGAAAAACACTGATCAGTTAAAGCTGCCATGAATCCGTTCACCAGTGACCTGCTCCAGCTTTATATGCAAGAGTGGAATAAAGTACCTTCAGATTCATCATCAGCCTTTAACTGTTTTGCCTTCTGTTCATGGTGTAAAAATGAGACAACATACACATTTTGATATCAAATAAATAATAATATTTAGCCTCGGTTTAGTTCAGTGCTCTACCCTGTCAAATCCGGTGTCTGATTACTTTTCCGCCACATAAAACTAACGTTTAACGCTGGATATAGAGAAAACAAGAGCGAGAGCGAGAGAGAGAGAGTGAGACAGAGAGAGAGAGAGAGCAAAATACAGAGAGAGAGACAGCAGGTCCAACTGAGCATGAGATGAGATCTGCAGGCAAACTTTGTCACATACTGTCCTCTACTTTACCTTTGGGTTCTGTTAGAGAGAGAGAAAGAGAGAGAGAGAGAGAGAGAGAGAGAGAGAGAGAGAGAGAGAGAGAGAGAGAGGGAGGGAGGGAGAGAGAGAGAGAGAGAGAGAGAAGCAATGGACATATGCATTCCCCCTATAAGTAGTACATTTACTTCCTTTGTCCACTCACTTCCCATCTTCATGCAGCTCTATGTTTTTGCTTGTGAATAATGCAAATTTAAGATGTCAATCACAACCAACATTTCTTTTTATTTATTTCTTTTACTACCTGCTCCAAAAGTGTTATTTCTGCCAGATGAACTTGACTGTTGACAAGTTTTCTGTCACCTGGTTTTGTGCATTTGGTGATGACTGAACAGTAATTTGCCAATAGAGCCATCATTCCCTGCAAGTTTTTCCTTGAATATTTTGTTAATTCCAAATATCGCAAATCCTAACATGAATGGTTGTATCGAAAGATTTAGGCACCTCTGGTCAAACTACACTTCCTATGATAGAAGAAAATTCTTTTTTTTGCTGAATTTAACACATTGGGGGAAAACTAAAATGTGGCATGTGCATATGTTTGGACACCTTTTCAGTTGCTTCACTAGTGTTGTTTTTTAAGGTCTCATAGCTTATTTGACTCATACGGCCTTAGTAAGACAGTGTCAGAGAGTAATAAATTCTGTGGCCCTTGAAAACTTCTCAAAATATTTTTCCTTACCAAGCTGTGTTACCAGCAGCTGATGAAGAACTGGCCCGCAGAAGAATAGTAATGCAGTGTTGTTGCACAAGCATTATCTACATAAAAGTCATCTGGACGTAATCTTAACTGTGATCTCATCCTAAACGTCAATGTCTGAAGCACGCAAACAAGATCTATGTAAGCCAGATGCATTTGGGAATCAAGTTCTGTAGTCTGATGTAACAAAGGTGTAATTCTCTGGCTATAATCCCTAAAGGTATTTTTGGGGGTTGGGGCACGGGGAGAGACACACTTCAAGGAAATAACACCTTGCAACCTGTAAAGCATGGAGATGAATCTATTATGCTTATCATTTTTTTATATGTTAAATTCAGCAAATACATAATAATTGTCCATTAGAATTTGCTGAAATATGACATATTTAATATGTCTTATTTACATGTGTAATTTGACCAGTGGTGCCCAAACATTTGTATATGACTGAAAGTTATAGGAACACATTAGCAAACCTGATGCCAGACTAACCCCATCGGATGTAATATTAGCACCACTGTATTGTTCAAAGGGTCAGTCTGGCTTTGCAAAACAACACCACAGAGTTAAACTGCAGCTTGTCACAGTCATCCGGTCCATCTGCTTCAGCTTGGCCATATCTCGCCTAATAGACACTCTCTGAACTGTGACCAGTCTAGTGTGCTCAGACCATTTAGCCCACTTCTTCCCTCTCTGTCTGAATCCATTATCCAACAACAACACAGCCTGATCCTCTCCTGTGGCTGCAGCATGGGCCACCAGAAACTCCTAACAGGGCAGGTGGAGGGGCACTGACCACTGGGTTTAGACAAGAGTTTTTTTTATACCATTGCTGTTGTTTGAAGGTCTTTATTGGTATTGTGCTAGCCTCTAGTGCAGCGGTTCAGTGCAGAAGTTTTATTTTGTCACTTTATTGAATCTGCTTCGGTCATATATAAAAGTGGTACTTGATTAAAAATGGTAGACATTATTAAAGGTTATTTAAATTAAATATGTGCTAATCAGTCACAAATCAAGGCCATCCTGCACCCACTTAATGAGTTATCTATCATGTCATAGAAAAAGCTCTTGTACATGCAGGTCAGAGATAGTTCTGGTAAGATAAGATCCCTGAGAGGCACAGTGGCACTCACCACAAAGAGGGCCTTAGACTAAAATGTAGGAAAACTGCTGCTCTAGTGGAGTGCTAGCCTGAGGCAATGCTAAAGGCCCATATACTACATTTTTCTTGATTTTTTCTTTCACTGAGGTCATTATAATATTTGTTTGTGCACCAAAAACAGCCATACCTCATTTATATATGACCATTTTCCAATATCAGGCTGCTATTATTACTGTACCTTTAAGACTGATATAAATGACCTCGGTTCTGATGGACTGTTCTGGTTCGTACACTCTTTATTACTTTAGCGTGAATGGGTGGAGCTAAAGTTTTGTAAGCTGAATATGCAGTATGTAAATGCAATGGTTTTCGTGACATCAGAATAGCAACGAACTTGAAACGGAGTCTGCATGGACCGAGGAGTGAATGGTATGTTTTAAAGCTTTAACAAAGTTTACATACTACATCAAACTCTTTTATTTAAAAAAAGGGAGGACAATTCAGGATACGAATCTTACTAGTGTTGAGGTGCGGCTAAATGTTATTTTAATGCTATTATTACTAAACATGTGATTCTGAAAGACGCAGAGGAAGACCTCAAATCTCTTAAACTAATTATTTCAGAAATAACAAACCATGCAAAGCATGTAATTCTGTGTCCTTTTACAGTATTGCTATACATATTTTTTTTTTTATTCACTATGATTTTGAAAGATAATGGGCATCATTCACCAGTACAAGTTTTTTCTTAAATTTGTTCTTGCGAAAGGTCCCAAGAAAAAGTCTACGTCAGATTTATGGCGTTTTTAAACCACAGAATTGTTCGCACCTTTGTGCTCTTGAGTGTGTGTAGATTCTGTTGTTATCTAAGAACAAATCCCAAATTAGAAAACATTGGTGAACATCAGAATCTTCATAAAAACTGCATTGAAAACTTCATAAAAGTGGGTTTAAAGAATAAATTTCTTCTTATAACAGCTGGTGAATGATGCTCAGTGAAGACATGATGCATGTCCTTTATGTGAAGAAGAAAAGGTTTTCATTCTACATGTACATCAACATAACCGTTCCTGCCATCGAGGTGGATAGAAACTGGAACATACTGCAATATCTTATCCACATATTTCAAAAGCTAAATGGAATAAGTTCAATAAATTACATGTTTATGTGCAGATAATAATGAAGTAAAATATGCATGTTCCTCATACACTGCTATTAATCAACATCCAACTGCTACTAAACATAACTCAAAGATGAGAGTAACAGATTCCTCAGAAATAAGCAGAATACAAATGGCTGAAAAATACTAAAGTCAGCCTAGACTGTACAACTGGCTACACGTCCTAAATAGTCTAACAGCACCTGCACTGTGAAACTGGAAGCAGCAAATGTCCTCATAGCATTCCTCTCGTAGCGGCTCGGGACTGACTGGAATTCAGAGAGTTTTATAAGCAGAGGCATAACCTACAGAAAAGCCAATTTGAGGATATTTTAATACACAACTGTCCAGTTCATTTCAACTGAAATGCTCTACAAAAGAATATCTGTCCCTTTCCATCTTTCTTTCACAACTTGCTTTCATGAAACCTCATAAAAGCAGTTGTTTTTTTCTCTGCTGCCCCTTTCAGGGACATAATTTTCATACTTTTGGAAGCAGCTGTGAAAGAGAAGCAGTTCATCCCTGCAACACAGTTATAGCAGGCATTGCTGTCTCCAGAATGTTGTCAGTGTTACTGTTAGTGTTACGAGACAGGGGTGTTTTTTAAGACTATGTGGTCTGAAGCTAAAGCTGTACTTAGCTGAAGCTACAGTAATCTGCGTAAGTCATAGACCACCCTTTTATGTTTTTAATTTTCAGTCAAAACAGCCATTTAGTAAAGTTATTCATTTGTCAGCATCAGGAAAAAGCAGAAAACATATGTAACAACTAAATACATAATTTTCCAGTATTTAGTGTGTCCACACTTTGGCACTCACTTTAGGAACTTGCTTTCAGAATCTCAATGAAATCTGCAGGGATATTTTTCCACACCTCCAAGTTCAGTCAAGAATTTGGTTGCATTTTCTGCTTCTCATGATCCAAGTAATCCCAAACACATGCAGTGATGTATAGGTCTGGACCTTTTCTTGACAGCTACACATCCTTACAGACTCATAGTGTTGTCTTCTCGCAGTAAAAGGACGTATGGAAACACCTGTGGATTGTCTCAGATCTGATTTCTTCTCTCTCTCAAAAATAAAAGCTTTAAGTACTGTTTATCTGATGGTGACAGTTTTGATGGTCTACCAGGTCTTGCATGGTTTCTCTATATATATTCTAATTATTTTTTGAACTTTTTTACTTATTTTCTGTTGATTTTCCCCTTATGTAAGTGGATTATCTTATGTCTAATCTCCTTAGAAAAGTCTCATAACTTGTACGTAATGGCTGTTTGACTTAAAATTAAAGGGGGGAATTCCTTTTTTCCTGCATAAAATATAAGTTGCTGAGACCAATGGCTTGATGTGAAATGGTTCATTATAGAGAAACTTTGCCAACTCCTTACAGTGTTGATGACAGAAACCAGGGGATGTCTGCAACACAAATATAACCAATTTATTTACTATCCAAAACCACTGGTGAACTTACATATGTCTTCTGGGTTTTTATATGTAATGTTGATGATGGGAAAATAATGGTAAATCTGGAAAAAAAAAAAGTTTTCTTTTTGAACTATTATGCCTCACAACACCTTGCATGTACCCCTCTACCATGAAGGTATTTAAAAATTACTCTTAAGGCCAGCAGACTTCAGGGTCCTATTA